CTCACCACTGGACCAATAAACAACATTCTTATCAACGGAGAAAAGATTGAAGTTGTCAAGGACTTCATTCTTCTTGGATCAACTATCAACACTCATGGAAACAGCACTGAAGAAATCAAACAACATATTGCATTAGGCAAATCTGCTGCACAAGACCTTTTCCAGTGTTGAAGAGCAAAGATGTCGCTTGAGGACTAAGGTGCGCCTGATCCAAGCAATGGTATTTTCAGTAACCTCATATGCATGCGAAGGCTGGATAGTGACTAAGGAAGACTGTAGAAGAATTGATGCCTTTGAGTTATGGTGTTGGAAAAGAATATTGAAAGTGCCATTGGCTGCCAAAAGAACCAATAGATCTATTTTGGAAGAAGTGCAGCCAGAGTGCTCCTTAGAGGCCAAGATGGCCAAACTTTATCTCTCATACTTTGGACATAATGTCAGGAGGGACCAGTCGCTGAAGAAGGATATCATGTTTGGTAAGGTGGAGGGTCAGAGAAAAAGAGGAAGACCCCCAATGAGATGGAATGGCTAAGTGGCAGCATCAATGGACTCAATGTGGCAACAGTACTGAGGTTGGCCTAGGATCAGGCAATGTTTCGTTCTGCTGTGCATAAGGTTGCTATGGGTCGGTTCCGACTTGGGGGCACCTAACAACAACAACAACAGTAATACTGTTATAAGACAAACCTAGAAAACTCTGAAAATCAATGTGATATTAAGACATATTCAGGGCTCAACAATGAATTCTAGTGCAGGAATAGATAGCTAGATGACTAGAAAGGGATAAAAATCTAGAAACAGACTAAATAAATATAGGAACTGAATGTATAATAAAAGCAAGATCTCAAACTAATTGAAAATATTGATTATTCAATCAATGTCATTGAGACAACTGGGTAGCTAACTGGGGAAAAAGAAATAGATATTTATCTCATCTTACATCAAGACAAATTCCAAATGAATCAAAGATTGAAGGCAAAAAATAGTCATGAAAATCCTAGAATAAAATATGGACTTTTTCCCCCCATATATTCTTGAATGGGTAAGCCCTTTCTGACTATAAAACTTAGAAGCCACAAGGAAAGATTAATAAATTAAACTGCATTAAGAAACAAAACAAAACTTTGGAATGGAATTTAAAAAATAACCAAGTGTTAAAATATTTTCCATTCATATCTAGAAAAGGCTAAGTGCTGTAGGATAAGCACTGAACTGGGAACCACAAGGTCGGTGATTCAAACCCACCAGCTGCTCCTCAGAAACCATGCACGGGGTCACTATGAGTTGGAATTGACTCGATGGCACTTAACACCAATAACTATCTCGTTAATGCACAAGATAGTCTTACAAATTGATAACAATAAAGATTAAAAAATGAGCAAGGATATGAACTGTGCATAGATAAGAGATTGCAAATGACACATAATTATATGAAATGAAGCTCAACATCACTTATAATAACAGCAGTGTAAATTAAACCTGCACCAAAGATACCAGTTGTCACCTATCTGATTAGCAAAAATCCACAAAGTTTTTAGTATATTTGTTGATGAGACTGAGAAAAAACGTTCTTATACATTTCTGGGGAAACATAAATTAGCATAAGCTCTAAGAATGGCACCTCACCCAAATTACAAATGATTCCACATTTCCACTTTATTCTATTTACTCTGATGTTAAATACAATGTTAACATATGCTATTATTTTGGTTAGGAGTCTCTAGGTGGTGCAAGTGGTTAACGTATTTAATTGTTAAAAAAGTTTAGAGGTTTGAATTCACTCAAAAGATCCTTAAAAGAATGGCTTGACAATCTGCTTCAGAAAAATCAGTCATTGAAAATCCAAGGAACAGAGTCCCACTCTGACACATACGGGCGCCATGAGTCAGAGCTGACCCTGTGGATTATTTTGGTTTTAATCCTAAAGTTTATTGGTAGCCAATTTTAAGGGCTGAAGAAAAACAACTATAAGTAAATATACTGTAACTTTTAGCAAAGCCTTATAACTTCAGAGGAAAACGTGATAAGTGCTCCTGCCCCCAAAAAGCTAAAAAATGAAGACAACATAGCCTATTGTTGTTGTTGTTGTTAAGTGCTGTTGTATCAGTTCTGACTCATAGTGACTCTGTACAGGGTTTCTGAAGAGCGGTTGGTGGGTTTGAACTGCCGACCTTGTGGTTAGCAGTCCAGTGCTTATCCTACAGTGCCACACCAGGACACCAGGACTCCTTAAATAAAAGGGCAAGCAGGTATATATATATTTGCCACACGCTACAGTTATGTGCTGTAGCGTGTGGCAAAGTACCTTACTAATATGTATAATGATGGTCTTAGTAATCAAGAATAGGTAAACTTAAAAAGAGTGAGAGTTATGTAATTACATAATGGTTATTTGAAGTAAACTTTCAGATTCCCAGAAAGTTCAGTGTATTCCCAGAGGGTCCCATAAGTGGATAATTTACTGACTAGATATCCACCCATTCTTTCTTACCATATGTCATCATTCTGGGCAGGACCTCAGCTAGTACGAGCCCAAAGTGAGCATCACGAAAGACTATTCTGGGAAGTGGCAGAGTGTTGAAGGAGAAAGATACTGAGAGGGTGGAAGTGGGAAAAGACTTTCTTGTTAGCCCAGGTGGCGCTACTCACCATATGTCTACTTTCTCAGAGACAGGTTCGTTCCTTATCACTTCTGGCGCCATCCAAGCCACGGTGCCAGCGAAAGACATCTTGGTACTTTTATCACTGAGTTCCTTAGATGTACCAAAATCTGAAATTTTTACTGCATCTGTGTGAGTCACTAAAACACTTTAAAAAGAAATAAAGGAAACATTAAGATCATTAGTGCTTGTGAAAACCATGACTCTAAATAGCAACTGAGGAGTATGCTTGTTGTCTCCGACCTATCAGAACTCAGCTTGCAATGTAAGATGGAGCTAACACAAGTCACAGGATCTTATCCATAATTGAGAAATGCAAAAAGCTCTGAAAATGGTTTATATTTTTCCATATGAATAACAAATTCACTTTATCCCTCCTCATAGCTATACCATAATTTTGCAATAGATAAATTAAGGTGACTGTTAACAGGGTACTAAGTAACAGTACAGTTGTTGTTAAGTGCTGTTGAGTCAGTTCCGACCCATAGCGACCCTGTATAGGGTTTCCGAGGAGCAGTGGGTGAGCTTGAACTGCCAACCTTGCAGTTCAAACCAACTTTGCAGTTCAGCTCATTTACCCACAGCGCCACACCAGGATTCCTATATTCCCTTTCTGTAATCATCTGGCTCCAAGAGTTTTGGATAGGGATTATGGAACTGCCATAAGTACCTCAAAGAATTTTAGTTTGAATTAAATGAGGAAAGACGCATAAAGCACACAGACTCAATACATATTAGTGCTCTGGTAGCATACTGGTTATGAGTCGGGTTGCTAACCTCAAGAACAGAAGTTAGAAATTACCAGTTGTTCCGTGGAAGAAAGATGAGGCTTTCTGCTCCCCTAAAGATTTACAGCCTTGGAAATGCTATGCAGAGTCGCTATGAGTCGGAACCAAGTCCACAGCACATAACCACCCAACCAGCCAATCCTGGCTGGTCTCAGCATACTAGGCCTTTCACTAGGGAGCCTCTTCTTTTAAAACACTGTTTAATGATGGCCAACTCAAATCACAAAGGGGCAGTAACACTAAGGATTTGTTACGTTATGAAGTTAGTAGGTATACTGGGATTCTACTAATGTTCATAGGGAAAAAGCAGTAATAAATATTAAGATTAGGTGAGTTCCACACAATTCATGTTTCATTTTTTTGCAGTAGTTATCTGCTCGCTAAATGATAGGCCGTAAAGAAAGTGACATAGAACTTTATATACGCCAAGATTTCTTGCCATCTTCCTTTTAAAAGGAATTCTCAAAGATAATAAATTAGTTGAAAAGGAAATCATTCAGAGAGGCCTTAGGAAATATTTCATGCAGTGTGTATGTTTGTTGTCCTGGTGTGGCGCTGTGGGTTAATGCGCTGGACTGTTAGGTCGGTTGGAACTGCAAGGTTGGTTCAAGCTCACCAGCTGCTCCTTGGAAACCCTATACAGGGTCGCTATGAGTCAGAACTGACTTGACAGCACTTCACAACAACAACAATATGTATGTTGTGAACAGCAAGAGTAGTGGGTTATTTTAAGAATATGAATAGGAATGGACACTATATAATAAAGTTAATTTGCAAGGCAAGTAGGAAGGAGGTTATTTAGTACCTAACTACTGTAACAGAACTGACTCAATGGCACTTAACAACCACAACAACCACTGTAATAAGCATTATTGAGCACTAAGGTGATGATAACCAGAGTCCTGATGTGGCGATGTGGGTTAATGTGCTGGACTGCAAGGTTGGTGGTTCAAACTCACTAGCTGCTCCTCAGAAACTCTACACAGGGTCACTATGGGTCAGAACAGACTCAACGGCACTTAACAACAACAAGGTTATAAATAGGAGTTGCTTTGCAGCTTATCATTAAGGGCTGATTTCTACTTTTTGAAAAGATCAGTTTGTATTTTTCTTATGGACATTGCGAACCTTGTAACTTATTTATTTCCTCCTTTGCTCAGACTCTAGGAAACTGAAAGCCAAATTTGTAGTCTATCTCTAACAACTGTGCAGGATTTTATGGATTGATTTTATGCCTAAATTGTAGTTCTAATGTCTTGTTTTCTCTTTGCTTCTTTTTGTTCATTCAAACATTTTCAGCCTACCATACACATTCCCGAAACCCAATTTTAAAGAAACAAATACTTTTTAGAACAAGGTAGTAAAAGAACAAATCAAGCCTTTAGAGTGAGGGAGGAAGTTTGGCACTGATTATGCAAAACCATGAAAGGTGAGTAGAGTCTTCATGTGGCACTGTGGGTTATTACGCTGGGCTGCAAAGTCAGCAGTTCAGGCTCACCAGCTGCTCCTCAGAAACCCTATACAGGGTTGCTATGGGTCGGAACCAACTCAACAGCACTTAACAATAGTAACAACATGGAAGGTGAACACTTCAGATAATAATGACTGTGGTTTCATGGTTATACAATTTAAAATCAACAAAAGGCATAACTAGTATCAGGTAGCTGGACATATCTGCCAAATGAGTAAGGTCAAATAGTCCAAAAGACATGTGCTGACCAAAACTGAACTCAAGGTATGACTGAAGCTTCCACTATGAATGACACAGTTTGTCATTTCAAAATCATAAAACAAAATAGCCAAAGGACTAGTCCCAGAACTCACTTAGGTGATTTGAGATCACGATGAATAATTTTATGGAGGTGCAAATAATTCATTCCACTTGCAATTCCTGTGGACCAGTCTACTAACAATCGAGGTGTGATCTTCCGGCCAGCACGCAAAACCTCGTAGAGTTGTCCATGGGCACAGTATTCCATGATGATACAATAACATGGGGCCTGGGTACACACACCCCTTCCAAGAAAACACAAACATGGATAGAAGCAAACACTTACTTACAAACATACCAATATACAGTCTTAGATTTTCAAAGATATTTAATATGAATTAATATTTAATAAGATATTAAGAATGAATTCCCCATCCAAATTATTTTCTAAATGAGCATCAAAACTCCAAAATGAGCATCTAATCTACATGTTTCTCTACCATGCATACAGAAAACATTAGCTCGTTGCATTTACTCAAGATATACCTACATGCTATGCTGTATCTGGTGTTTCTTCTGTGGGGCCATTCCATTCTGAGACAGAGAGCACCATTTCCTGAGGTTTGTGTAAGGTTGGATATCATGCTGTTTTAAATCCTTAAGATTAATTTAAAATATCTCCCTTTTAAACTTGAACAGAGGTCTTTATATAGGGTATACAGAAAATGACAATTCAAACAAAATATTCCTCTTGTCATTATTACGTGTGAAATTTTATTTACTCATATTTACAATAGCTAATTAGACTGAGGACCAGAAAAAGAGGCGATTTTCTATACTCCCACTCCACATTTATCAACATGATTAGGTTCCAAAGAGAAGGTTCTTACATAAAAATAGGCGTTTTGTGAAAATGGAGAATGATTACATCAGAGCACAAAAAGGAGGATGACTATATTATTACATAACTGCTAATTACATTATGACATAACTAATAAGTGGTCAAATTTCATGATAACATAACTGCCAAGCTGCTGAGAATCATGGACCAGCCAAGTTCACGTATAACCTTCACCATCACAGCCTGTGTTACTCTCGCCTCATGCCTTAGTGTTTGCTATTGCCAGATGTACGTCATTAAGGCACAAAACAGCTACATTACTAGGTTTTTTACTATTGTCATTAATGCAAAATATCAGATAATAAGACAGCAGGTAAGTGAGCAGTAGGCATATTATATTGTCTTTGAAAAACATTTCTGTTTAGAATAAAAGTAATGATACACAATGTATCATAATATACATATATGTAGCCTATACCTCTATCATTTTCTATGGTATCCATAAAGTCTTTCCTGATCAATTGAATCTGAAAAAAAAAATGTTCTCTAAATTCCTATGCTATATAGTAGCCATTAGTTACACGCCATTTTTCTCTCGAGTGGGCTGCTAACTTCAAGGGCAGCAGTTCGAAACTACCAGCATTTCTGCGGGAGAAAGATGAGGCTTTCTGCTCCCATAAAGATTTACAGCCTAGGAAACCCTATGCAGGGTCGCTATGAGTCAGAACTGACTCCACGGCACACTACCACCACCACCGACCACACAGATGATGTGCTTCTTGAAGGGAGTGGTCTTCAAGTTCTTTTCTATCACAAGGCCTATAAATTCACAGCAAGTCCTTGACAAATATTCCTTTCAACTTTCTTTGCTGAAAAAAGTCTCAGAACAAACATATACAGATCAAGGGTTAGGAGGAAAACCATTAACCTTGAACTAAGGTTCCAGTTCATACATGCACAGATTGATCCCCAACAAAACATGTTTAAACACGCCTCTGTGCTCAGCTGATGGCTGCAGACAAGTTCTCTCAGTAATACCTTAGTCTCATTAGAGGGCCTTCACAAAAAGTGTAATCAAAACCATGGCTTCCAAGGGAATCTGCTGGGCCAGTTAAATTCAAGACAGAGAGACCAGTTCAGAAGGTTATGGTGACAGTATTTTGAAATTCAAAAAGGGTCCTTTTTATAGATTTTCTCAAAGAACACAAACGATCACGGAGGTTTATTACAAAGAAATTTTAAGAAAACTGAAAACTGTATTGGTGAGGAAAAGGCGAGCAAAGTTGTGTCAAGGAATTGTTTTATACCACGACATTTCACTTGCTCATTTTTGAATGTAGCAAGGGCTGTTCTACAAGAATGTCATTTGGAAACCTTACCTCATCCACCCTCCAACCTTGATCTTGCCCACTCACACCTCTTCGTGTTCCTCAAATTCAAAGAATATTTCAAAGGAAAACAATTTGAGTCTTTCAAGGATGCTCAAACAAACAGCTGTTTTGATGTGGAGTCCTCGAAGACTGCAGAATTTTTGGGGAGGGCTTGTTGTTGTTGTTGTTAAGTGCCATCAAGTCAGTTCCAAGCCATAGCGACCCTGTGTAAGGTTTCCAAGGAGCAGCTGGTGAGCTTGAACTACCGACCTTGTAGTTCAAACGGCTTTGCAGTCTGGCGCATTAACCCAAAGTGCCACATGATTTTGTTTAATAAAGGTTTCTATGATTTTGTAGCAATACTTTTTTTTTTAAACTTACCTGCAAATATGCTTATTTGTCTTATTTAACCTGCTCTGAAACAGTGTAAGGTATAGTATTATCTTTTTCATTCTTACACATACATCTCAAAGAAGGAAAATGTAGGTCATATAATGGCGCTTCAAAAAGTTCATGGAAAAATGGAATTAAAAGCAAAAGGGAATTTTTCCATTAACTTTTTGAAACCCGTTCATTCAACTAATAAGTGGCAGAGCAGGGATTCAAACCTGGTCTGTTTAACTTAAAAACCCGTCTCACTCACTACTCCACACTGCCTCCCTTTTAACTTTTTAATTTCTACATAGATAAGCGTATTCGGGATTCCTATGCTAATACGGTTTCCTCATAAAAGCGGGAATAACTATATGAATGCAACTTCAGTTTTGTTCTGAGGACAAAAGAAGAGAAGAAAATTACCATATGTAATTTTAATTTTCTGTATTCCACCTCTTGAGGCTATGTGTGCCTTCCTTTGAAGCTTTCCAGAGAAGTTCACAGAATATTGTATCTACAAGACACCCATTTAAGTCCTTGGTCAACCACCAGTCTCTTAGATCCTTGTCTCATTTCTTAGATTGCAGTAAAAGATGAAAGAATTCAGCGGCCATGGCTTGAGACATTGATCATGTGAAGATTTTGTGCCAATAACAGGTTATGAGGAAGTATAATTAGTCTTCATTTCCTCTGCCTTGATGTGTCTGTCCAATGTCACAAAGCTCTTTCTATGATTTCCCTATCATTCTCTAAGCTACCCAGAATTTCATCTTTATTTTTAATGAAACCATTTTTTTTTCCTCTCTGTTATTTTAGGAAAGCTCAGTGAAGCACAAGTGCCCAGCAAACACAAACATAATTTAATTTGCACGATAGAAAAATAATGGATAAACGCCTTGTACAGAGTAATGTGCTTATGAAGGAGCTCTGGCGGCACAGTGGTTAAACGCTCAGCTGCTAACAGCAAGGTTGGCGGTTCGAACCCACCATCCCTTCTGTGGGAGAGAGATGTGGCAGTCGGCTTCCTTGTGGGCAGTTTCTACACTATTTTATGTGGTTGCTGTGAGTCTGAATCAACTCGACAAAACTGGGTTTAGTTCAGTAATATGTTTAAGAATATGAGAATAAATATTCGTTTGAAAGCAGTCAGCATCCTACTCAATCATGCTTTAACTCGTCCCACAAGTAGACAGAAAGGGTCTAACAGTGATATGTTAATGCACTTTCATGTCTCCTGACTGAAGAAAGAGAAGCAATCATTCCATCAGCTTGGTACTATGACAAGGCTTCTTAGTAGCTATAAATAGCAGCTCTATAATGACTCCTAATTGCTACCTTTTCTTCTCCTTGACACTGAATTCCATTAGGAGCAGTCAGTTTTGCATTTCTTCAAAGATTATTTGGGAAAAAAAACTGGAAGAAAAAGAATATAGTATTCTTATCTCGCATGTCAACACCCTTCTGGTACACGGTTCTTACCAACTTCAAAAGAAGCCATAAGCACAGAATCAGGATTTAGAGTGAAGTATTAAAATCCAATCACGCTCTTATATCTTCCAGACGGTCCTGAATGTGTTCATTGGCCAAGCAACACATGGTACAGATGGCTGCAAACATAACACTGCACAAAGCCCCAAGAGCATGGTGTAATAAGCCAGGGATACAGTCGCACTATTGTTCTCCATGTAGAGGTAAAGGCTATTCAAACATCTTCAGTCTAAGAAATTGGGGAAATACTTGTCCAAAACATTGAAAACTGCATATGCAATTAGGAGGCTCTGAAGGGTGATATGAGAAAAGGAAAAAACAACAACAACAACAAAAAGAAACAACAGAAGAAGGAGGAAAAGAATAAAGCTTCTCACAGCCCTATCCTCTCAGACATATTCTGCCATCGTCACTTAGGGAATCCTGCTGGAAAGCCCAGGCTACTGAGTTCCGTGGCTCAAAACCAAGAAGCTGGTGATCTGAGTTTTAGAAGTTCTCGACCCTTCCGTCCAATTAGGAGGCTATTCCAGCAATCTGAAAGTGATGATCTTCTCAGTGAAATAAAAGAAAGAGAGAAAGTGGGTCTTTATTATTCTGTCAATCCTTCTATGGTCTTTTGTGGAGTCCCTGGGGGGCAGCAGTTAAGCTTGTCACCAAAAGTGTGGTGGTTCAAATTCACCCGGAAACACTTAAAAAGAAAGCCTTGGCAATCTACTTCTAAAATATCACAGCTACTGAAAGCCCTATTGAATGCAGGTCTACTTTGACACAACAGGATCGCAGTGAATCATAATCGATGCACCATCGGTGGTGGTGGTGGTGGTGGCATTTTCTTTTGAAATTTGTCATCTTTGGAAAGGTTATAATTGGTCTCTTTAGCATTTTACTTTGGTCTCACATCCTCCTGTTCCTACTAGTACAACCAGTGATGGGATCTTTATAAAATCTGAAGTTCTTACCCATATCCTCTGCATGGATGTCCCTTCCACAAAGAAATGAATCCAACCGTTTCAGTTAGTCTGTTAGTATACCAGTTGAATGCTTCTCTTCTTTCCAGACAATTTTCCCTTTTCATAAGGGATCTTGTTTGTGAATCAAAATTCAACCTCAGTACTCATTTAACTCTATCCTACAAAACATATCCAAGATTTCTATTCCCTATTTTGAGGATGTGATTCCAATTAAGAGTTGTCGCATGAATTTTTAGCTTTATAATGAGAGCTTGTTCATTTCTTTGGTTTTAAATCAAGGAAGGCTCCTTTTGGGGGTTGGGTATTGTTTCTAGTCTCAGGAAGGGCATTTGTAAGTGATTCACTTTGATCTATTTTACCGCTTTTTATTTATTTTCCAAGAATGAAAAAAATACAAAATATGCCATAAAGTTCTAGTTTTTAAACTTTCACCCCACCTAAAATCTACCTCTCCTATTCACTTTATCCCTTAGAAACCTCCTAAAGCCAAATATGGCTTGTTAATTTAAGACTGGGGCAAAGTTTAGAGATTGGTAAGGAAAGGTATCGAGATTGTACACACTTAACGTTCTGAACATATAGGTTTGTGACTTCCACAAATATATCTATGACTCTCCCCCTTTTCCTAGGGATCTCCGCCAATGATATGAAATATACTCGTGAAAATAATCATTTTGTGAAATGAATATAATACAATTTACTATCATTAATAACTATTACATTGGAGTTCTGATGTGGTGCTGTGGGTTAATTCGCTGGACTGCAAGGTTGTTTGAAGCGCGACATCGGCAGTTCAAGCTCACCTGCCGCTCCTAGGAAACCCTATATGGGGTCACTATGGGTTGGAACTGACTCAACGGCACTTAGCAACAGCAACAACAACAAATATTAGATTAAGAAAGCTGAGTGTTTGGCATATCTTGGAAAGGGGTTTATCAAAACCTGATGCAGGGAAAAACACTCAGAAGGTACTTGTTACAAGTTAATATTTAAGAAGAAACACCAATAGAAAATACATATGTACTACACAGGGACTAGTTGTTCTGAGATCACTTCAGAGATGTTAGTTTTGTTTTGTTTGATTTTCCTTAACTGGGATGAGAGTTTATCTGGAAATGACCTCTGTCATTCCGTTGATAAATGAGGTAGAGTCAGCTGATCTGAGCACGTCGTGGGAATCTGCTTCCTCCCTCCTTGCACCATAAGTATTCCTTCCACGCTCTGGCAAACAGAACTACTAGACTGTAAGATCCTTAAGGACATGACTCAAATTTCATAGTTCTTTGGTTCTAGCACAGTACTAAAACTATCAAACGTTCTTAACATGTGCTTGAAGGCAGAAAGTTATTTATGTGTACTGAGGGAAAGACAACCTCTTCGTTTCTGAGGAAAAAGAACAAGCCTTGACCTACTTGAAGGCAATGATGTTAGGATGCTTCAACTTCCTTAAATGCTTGATATCCGTCTCGTTCTGTTCTCTCACTTTCTTGATGGCCACCTCCTCCGCTCGGAACTTGCCCAAGAAGACAGCTCCTTGGGCTCCACTACCCAGCCACTGCAGCTCGGAGATCTCCTCGAATGGCACCTCCCACGTATCTAGGCATACAGGCAAGAGACAGGCTTAAAGAGATCTTGGAATCTGCTCAGAACTCGTCCACAAGGTCATTTAAAAGGTATCAACTTTAACATCACCCAGAATGACCACTTCCCTATGTCTCTCACCTAGTAACTGGCTAAAAGATATAACCTTTTTGTGGGCATTGGTGCTAGAGATCAAATATTCATATTATTTGTTACCAATTTTCAATCACTGACATCCAACTAGATCAGAGATGTTTATTATTCTCTCCTTCAAACAAAGCATTTCCAGACACTCCCTCAGGCCCACTTCTTCACCTCAAGTCTGCAATTCACCTATCTGTTACTACAACTCTACCCCTACTCCGTCACCCAATATAGCTGCTGTTTTATTTCCCCTTGAATTTCTAGTGCAGATGATGATCAATGAGTCTTTGCTGAATGAATCTTTGCTGAATTAATCTTCAGTGATACTTTCCTGAGAACCTAATTATACATAATACTTACATGAGTATTTATCTCTGGTATTTAATACAGTATTTGTTGTTGTTGTTGGTTAGTGTGGTCGAGTCGGTTCCAACTCATAGTGACCCTATATAGAATTTCTGAGGAGCAGCTGGTGGATTTGAACCATTAGCCTTGCAGTTCAAACCAATCTTTTGGTCTAATGCTTATTCTACAGCATCACATCAGGACTCCTAATATAGTATTACCATATAGTATGTACATACAGCATGCTTTACATACATCATATATTTAATCCTTACAATAATCCTACAAATCTGGATTATTATGGTTAAAGATGAGAAAAGGAAGGCATAGAGTGTTTAATAACATATCCAGGGTTATACAGCTGATATGAGGCAGAAGTGGTTCCAGAACCCCAGATGAAGCTAACTCCAAGGACAATGCTTTCTCCATTTTACCAAACTGACTCTTATGAATTGTTGTAGTTATTAAGTATGAATTAATGACTCCACGGAGTCGGTTCCGACTCATAGTGACCCTGCACAGAGTTTCTGAGGCTGTAAATCTTTATGGAAGCAGAACGCCTCATCTTTCTCCAGCAGAACCGCTGGTAGTTTCGAACTGCTGACCTTGCGGCTCGCAGCCCAATTCGTAACCACTACACTACCAGAATCATGTATGTTTACCTACACAGCTGCAGTCTTTTTTTATTTAAACTTTTAATTGTGAATTGAATGAAAGTTTTCAGACAAGATCATCAGTTTTACACTCAACAAATCATATACTTTGTTTCATCTCAATGACTGCAGTTCCCTCCAAGCACCAACAATTATCCTGCTTCCTCCCTGTGCTTCCTATTTGCATTCCATCCTCCTTTCCATCCCTTCTCAACTTTGCCCTTAGGTAAATGTTGCCTTTTAGATTTTGAATGATTGACCATTCCATGGTGAGCTCCCTTTACTAGAGTTGTTGTCCCCTTTGTGTACCTGTCTAATAGCTACAGTCTTGTTAAGCTAAAGTGAGTGTTGTTTCTCTTTTTCTTAGAGTTTGATTTTTTTTTTCTTGCGTCAAAATTTTAATAGGGGTCATTTCTAAGTAGTGGTATTATCGGAAATTCATATTATGCTCTTTATCCCTTTCTGTATTACATTTTTTTAGCCATAAGCCTATATTACTTTTATACTGACTAAATTTATTATACATAAAGCACTTCAAAATTTCAATCAATATGTGCTTTAATCTCATGAAACCTTAAAAGGAGAATGTAATCCGCTGATCCTTCTTACCAGTGCATTATCACATGTAGACATGCATATCAAAGAGGTGGAAGCCCCATGAGGTGTGGAGAAAGATGATGGTAACCTTAAAGGTTATGAGAGACTCTCCGTCAGATCACTAAAAGGCCACTGTTGGCGGAACACTGAACAAGGTGGTATTGGGTTAGCTTTGAATATATTTTGGTCTTGAAAGCAAATCAACTCACTGTCCACCATGCCCACCAAAGAGTATCTACAAGAAAGTTATCCATGTCTAACTTTCTCTACCGTAAGAGAAAAAGAAATTCTATAGATTCTTTATAAAGTGTAGTTTCCCAATACAATGTTTAAAACATAGGCCTTTAAAACATAACTGCATAGAACAGATAAAAAATTACAGTGAGAGTGATTACTATATACTATGGATACTTGTCCAGCTCTCCTGACTTGAACAGTATTAAAAGCTTCTTCTCTAGTGAAATCGAATGTTTGCTATTCTAAAGCAGAACTCTAAAATGCAAATAGCGCAAACATACTAAATCACTAGATGAACAACTGACATCAAGTGAGATTTGAGAGGGAACCAAGTTACAGGCTTGAACACTTTCAGTATCTTTAAGGGTTTCTATGATTGATGAGTATTAGCTATTCCTGCAATCTCACTTTCATCCCCAGAGACATAGTCAGTAAAAGACGAGGATGACCCTCAATGAGACTGACTGACACAGTGGCTGCAACAAAAGGCTCAAGCACAGTAACGACTGTGAGGAGGTTACAGGACCCGGCAGTGTTTCGTTCTGTTGTACACAGGGTCACTATGAGTCGGAACCAACCTGACAGAATCCAATAGCAAGGACAGACTTATTCATGTAGTAGATACAGTATACAGGTATTGAGGGAACAGTGTAAGAGAATTCGACTCATTAGGGGTCTGGTAAGGAATTCAAGTCACTAAAAATGTCATTTTGACCACTCTGGAGGGTTAATAAAGTACTATTTGTTAATAAAGTACTGAAATCTGGGTCAAGAACACAATTGGGCAATATTTCTTTAAATAACTTTATAAAAACTCAACAATAATTTTTATTGCAATAGCCACTAAAATTAGACTGGTATCTGGTGTCTTTTTATTACTTTTTTCCTGGCTATTTACTCAACCTTTATTTACTGTTAAATTGTTAAATATTACATTAGATATTAGAAATGAGAATATCAGAAACATTCAAAAAACATATATTTGTAATCTCACCCCATAGTCACTTTTCATCTTGTCTTTGCTCCTATGTAAAAATTTTTTATGTGATGTATAATTTTCCTTCTCTTTTCCTGTATTAGGTGTTTGCAGTTTTCATTGCAAATTTTATTGGCTACTTATTCTATCTTCTTACTTGGTTACTTTAAAGTAATCTTAATTTTGTTTTGGAGTCCTGGTGTGGCACTAATTTAAATTTGACATTTTCTTCTTTCTCTATATTACTTCTTCAGACTCAATCACTAGATTAAAGAATCTAGTTTCCTGGCTCTTGGTACACACCCCAAGTTGCTATCCAGTTTGTACAGATAGCAGCAATGCATTAGCATGTCAGTTTCACCACAATGTTGCAAGCACTGGGTACTATCAATTATCTTTTTCATTTTAATTTAATTACGTATTGATTCGATGGCAACAGGTTTGAGTTTTGGAATCCTCTTTGCTCCTGTCTATATCCCAATAATCCTGTGTACAATCAGTAGGGAACCAAAGAGCAGTATAATGGCAGGGAAAAAGGAATGTTAGTGATAAGGATGTACAAAATTGTGGCCCAGATCATTGACAAGTAAGAGAACTGAACTCACAATCATAGGGAGCTGGCACTATCCAGAAGGAGCCCTGGTGGCACTGTGGGATAAGCACTGGACTGCTAACCACAAGGTCAGCAGTTCAAATCCACAAGTGGCTCGAGGGAGAAAGATAAGGCTTTCTGCTCCTGGAAAGTCTCGGAAACCCTACACAGGGTGGCTATGAATCAAAATCGATTCAATGGCAGTAGGATTGGGTTTGGAGCTCTCTCCAGTGGTAATCCCAGAGTTCCTGCTGCTTTGACATCTGTCTCATTAGTTCTCCTTCTCAGTTTTTATCTTTTCTCTGATTCAGCACTACAGATTACCATTTGAATTGTAATATCCACCATGAACCGTCAGACTGAGAACAAGTCACCTGCCCCACAGACTTGAAGGCAGCAGTTCTTTGTTCATCCAGACATGTCTATGACAATACTTGGTTTGAAACCATCTGGCAACAAAAGATTTCAGTTACACATGCAAGTACTATCTTACTTGGGCTTCATTACCTAACATAACTAAAGAAGAGATAAGGGCATCATCCAAAGTTTTAAAAGTCTAGTCAAGTTTCCTCAGAAGTGCCAAACGTAGGATGTGCTCCCCTTGGGTTGGCTGCAGCCCAGGATGAAAGTTCAGCACCTGGATCCCAGAGCCAACAAGGAAAACACAAAACACAGTTTTTGGCTAGTAAATCTCTTTGGCCCACAGCAGTAAGAGCCCCAAAGCAGGATATGCTATCATCTGCTGAAGAGTTAGTCAGCTGCTGTACCCTCATAAGAATCTTAAGCTGACCAGGCCTGTTTCTTATTTACATATGAAATAAGCCCTTCTGGAAGTCACATAATCAGAAGACAATTAAATACAAGTTTGTAGAACAATTAAAAAAAAGTAAAAAGGCTCCTTTTAATAGATTGCTGTTGTTGTTATGTGCAGTTGAGTGGGTTCTGACTCATAGCAACTCTGCATAGGGTTTGAACTGCTGACCTTGAGGTTCACAGTTCAGTGTTATCCTATAGTGCCACACTAGGACTCCTTTTAACAGATGCACAGGATGAATTTGTTGCTCCTCTGTATGAGCCTGATCTTGGGTTTAGTTACTGAGACGTCCAAATTACTACCGAGATGTCCAAATTACTACCGAGATAATTACGTGGTTGGGAGGTTTTAATCTGCAAGTGAAGACTTTAAAAGCTCAAAGCAGCTTATTCCATGTGCAGATAGGTGTTGCACCTAAATTGCGAAAGGGAACTTTTACATACTAATACATTAAAAATATTTATCTCTGTATTGTGAGATGACAAATGATTTTCATTTTCTTCTTTAGTCCCAATTTTATAAATAATAATATGTGTTTAATATAGAAATTGCCAACCTTTATGTGGTAAGGAACAACTTTGCAATTTCCTTGAAACCTTGAGATTGTGGGAGGGGAAAAAGGATGAAATGTGCAAGGATTTTGAGGTACATTTGAAAGAGATCAAGAGAGAGACACACCCACACCCCACACAAAGAATTCCTGCAGGAAAAACAGGAACTGTGTGGCTGGCAGATCCGAAAAAATCTAACTGATATTGACACATTTACTAACAGACTCCCAATTTACTTATGGGGAAGGGGGGGATTGCAGGGAGAGGTTGGTATGCTTGTTTAAGAGAAAATATTTCAGAAATAGGATAAATAGAAGGCAAGAGAGAAATGGTCAATAGTGACTGATACCAACCGGTTGTTGTAGAGAAGCTGTCAACATTCTTGACTAAAAAAGGGAGGATTACAGAGCCCAAAATGAAATCATAAAATAAACAAGACAGAAGTTCACTCTGGTCCATATATTTTCTTTCCAAAATTTCTTGATGAGAGAACTAAAAAATGGAATCACTTATATTAAATGAGGAAAATACGTTTTAAAAACTTTAAAAGCAACAGACCCTTTAAGCTCAACCATTCCACTTCTGGGAATTTATGCTAAGGGATAATAAAAAAATGTATGTAAAAACAAATTAATAGACATGTGTTCACTGCAGTGTGAGTTATAACCATGAGAAAATGAAACAAAATTAGTATCAAGAAATAAGGAATTAAATAAATAATGTCACATTCATACAATCAAACATTACACAGCCTGGTGTGGTGCTATAGGATAAGCACGGGACTGTTAACTGCAAGGTTGGCGGTCAAACCCACCAGCCACTCCTTGGAAACCCTATACAGGGTCAATATGAGTCAGAAATGATATATAGCAAAGAAGCATACACACAACACAAAAATAATATATAGCCAAAACATTAATGCTGTTATCCTCAGGAGAGACCAGACAGTGTTTTAATTTTTAAAAAACTTACCTGTATTTTCCAAATTTTCTACATATATTACTTTATTATAAGAAAGAGAAGTTCTTTTAAAGAAATTAAATTGTTATAAAGAACATTAAGTCCTGGTGTGGTTCTATGGGATAAAGCACTGGACTGAAAGGTTGGTTTAAGCCATGAGATTGGCAGTTCAAACTCACCAGTCACTCTTGGAAATCCTATACAGGGTCGCTATGAGTCAGAATCAACTCGACGCACTTAACAACAAGGCCCTATATTCTTTTATGTCAAAAGTGTCACACATGTACTGGAATACAAGAATATACGTGCTATATACAATGATGGGAACTAAAACTTACTTTTTAAAAAGCTGTAGGATCTAGTTTTGTAACAAAAAGGGGGGAGTAGTTAATCTTACATTCCAGGAACAGAGGACCCTAGGACTATCAAGGGAGAAGAGCACAAGCGGAATGCGGGACCCTATCCAGAGAAGCAATGACACCAGAGATGGAGACAAAGGTGATGGCATGAAGAGAAAGAGCAGCAGAGGACTCTAGACTCGTGGAAAGAGAATGGCTGTGTGCTAGAGGCCAGGAGGCAGACTTGCAGAATGTGTCCTTTGGTTGTTTAAGTGGTTATATATATTCCTGAGTGTTTTTGTGTACACCTCCTCCCAAAACAACAACAACAACAACAAGACAACACCAGGGAATAGAAGCAAATACTGTTGAATGATGATACATGGAGGAGATTGTAATCATTGCATTGAAACGATGAGTGTTAAACCAATGTTCTCCCATGTAAACTATCATTCAATTCACAATAAAAACTTCTTTTAGAAAAAGCTGTGGGATCTAGAAATAACCGAAAAAAGCATTTCTCAGGTTTGGCTGAATCATTTGTTCTTCCCTCACAATATGAGCTTTCATGCCTTTCCTGTAAGAAAATAATTCCTTTTTACTGCAACTTCAAGGCCTTCAAGCTTCAGAGGCAGTACCACGTAGCTCCCATCTGGCTTTGAATTAGGCCAGTCGCCATAAAACTTTTTGATTATATAACTTATCAGTTAAAAACAAAATTGAACATGTGCCCATTTCATGATCTATTTATAAATCATATCTCTGTACAACTATTTCAAAATATGCAGTATATCTGAAAACAGATATTTCAAATGTGAGATGAAATGAAGAAAAGCTCTAGTATTTCCTTCTTACATCCCTGTGGATGATAATGCTGGTGTGGCACTGTGGGTTAATGTGCTGAACTATAAGGTTGGTTCAAATCTCAAAGTCGGTGGCTCAAGCACACCAGCTGCTCCTCAGAAACTATATACAGGGTCACTGTGAGTTGGAATCAACTCGATGGCACTTAGCAACAGCAACAATCCCTGTGGGTAGCCTTGTACTTTGGATACCACTAAGACAATGGCAACAAACGCTCTACCAAATGTGAATCTGTTTCATTTCAAGAGGTGTACAGGAAATGGGGAGTCCTATGGGATTATGCACTGGACCACAAGATTGGTTTGAATCACAAGGCCGGTGCTTCAAATATACCAGTCACTCCTCAGAAACCCTACAGAGGGTTGCTATGACTTGAAGGCACTTAAACAACAACAACAAATAGGAAATTGAGATGGGGTACTAGTTCCTTATCTTAGTCCTGAGTCAAAGTTACCCAGTTTATGATGACGGTGGTGGGGTTTCCACAGTAAACAGCTCCCAGGTCCACACTCTAGCTTACCTTGTTGCTGCAGTTTATAGTCAGTGGAATATGCCTTCCCAATGATATTCCATACAGGTCTTAAGCATCCAAACAGTCCTTCAAGAAACCCACCACTGCCACTGCCCGACCTGCTAAACTGAATTTTGATGTCTTCAGCTGTATTTGTGTCCTCTCCATCCACAGTGTTGCTGTTCCCCTGAGATGCCATCTCTGACTCATCATGTTCCCTTAGCTGAAGGACACTGTTCTCAAACTGGTCCCTGGAATCCTCGCTTACACTGGTCAACACTGTTGTGGTGATGGGGCTGCTCATGTTCTCAATTAGCTCTGTTCGAAGCCCCCCTTTTTCCTGCAGGTCCTCCAGGAGCTTGGATGAAGGGTGGTTCCCCATAGGGGTGAGTTCATCTTGTAGTCCATTGAAGGTTCTGTTTTCATGCAAGGCTAAGTGTGGAGAAGAGGAGGAGCTCAGGTGCTCCTGAGGGTTGGCCATCGTGCCATGAGTGGGCCCAAGGTCCTGAGATGATACTCAGAGGATTATCAGAACAGAATTCAGATGCAAGAGAGGGTTCCAAAATCTGGGGAAAACAGGAGAACAAGAGGTCATCCTTTCTTTAGTCATTTACACTACTACTGTACCACTGTTTCTAGTAACAAAAACATTGAAACAATGGCTAATCAGTGGTATTCACATGATAAAATGCTGTACAACAAAAACCATATTATGGGAGAGTATTTACTAACATAAGAAAATGTTCATGACATATTAGTATAAAAACAACGTACAAATAACCTTTAAAAATTAATTTAAAAGTCATAGAGATGGAAGCAAAAAAAAAAGACTAGAAGGAGACAGCCAAACAATTAGCAACAGTTCAGTTAATTCTAGGTTGTTAGGTCTGGCAGGAGTTTACAGCCTTGGAAACTATGGGGTGATTCTAGGAAGTCCTGGTATAAGAGAAGCACTGGAGCGCAAGTTTGATTTGAACCGCAAGGTCAGTAGTTCAATCTCAAAAGCATCTCCTCAGAAATCCTATACAGGGTCGCTATGAGTTGGAACTGACTTGGCAACACTTAAGAACAACAACAATATGTAACGTGCTAGGCATTTATTGGATGATGCATAGCTTCTATCCTTTAGGAATTTACGGTCTAAACAGAAATTATATTACAGCTATACGGTTAATGTTATAATCCAGGTATGTGCATGATGTTAATCGGAGCTGAGGGAAAAGAAATCCAATATGTCCAGAGATGTCCTAGAGGAAGTTTGTCTGAGTTGTCTTGAAGGGTATGTTAGGCATCACTAGGAAAGAGAGACTAGGCCTTCTAGACATAGGGGGAGGAGCAGGTGAAAACCCAAAGAAAAGCTCCAGTTTAATGTTTACTATAATCCAGCTTAATGTTTACTAGAATCCTTGTAATAATGTCACTCCCATTCTTCAGAGAGGTTAAAGAAAAGAAACTTAAGGTCATTTATTAAGTAAGTGGTACAACAGAACTTGAAATCTACCTCAAAATTCAGATTCTCAAATCCGCTTGCTTTTTTAACAACACAATGGTAATCTGAACATAACTCTTCACAGTTTTAGAGTATTGTTCAGGTGTGTGTGTGTTTTTTTAATGCTTTCATCTGTAATAATTCTATCTAAGTACTTGAGTTTTTGTGTAAGGAAGCCAGAGCACGGAATGATAATCTCTAGTTTTCACTGACAGAAACTAAGGCCTAGAGAGAGGTCAAATAATATGCTAAAGATCACAGGGCCAGGAATGATTAACAGGGTATTTTTTTCTAAGCTCAGGATGCTTTTCTGTATCACATGGACTTTCTAACACATAGTTTCTATCCTTCTGAAGCTTGCAAATGATTTCAGGAGTTAATAATTGCCTCTTGAGGAAATCACCATCGTCCTTCTCCCCCTGAAGGTGCCCTCTCCTACAAAGTTGTAAGAGAAAAGCAATAATAATGGAAGGCAGGGTTGGTTAATACAGAGTGAATGAAAGAGGCAGGACTTGAGATGAACATTGAAATGAAGATGGTTTGAGACTGAGAGGAAAGGAGGCAGAGGCAGGGAGGAATAGGAGCATTACACAGGCAGGGAAGGGAGAACAACTAGGGCATGTGTGAAAGGGATGGTAACCCAGAATGCAACAAAGGTTAACACCTGTCTTTGCATAAGAGTTCTGAAAGCTTGTGGAACAATGCAGATGAGTCTTCCATTTAAACAAACCAGAGAGATGATTTGAGCTGAACAGGCTTGCACAGAGACCCTGCACAGGGTTTTCGAGAGTGGCTGGTGGTAACCTTGTGGTTACCAGTACAGTGCTGATCCTACTGCACCACACCAGGACACAGGGTAGGTATGAGGGGCTTAAAATTCTAGGACATGGAGACATGTAAGGACTAGGAAGTTCCCCATAAACATAAGGATGGGGGGCGTGCAGGCAGGACCCTTTTATTAAAGCAATAATAGCTTACTGGTGAGTTGACCCCAACTCCACTCCCGGTCCCATTCTCCCCACCCCTGACCCCACTGTGCTCCTCTCTAAGCTTGTTGTTGTTATGTGCCGTTGAGTCGGTTCCGACCCATAGCGACCCTGTACAGGGTTTCTGAGGGTGTAAATCTTTACAGGAGTAGAAAGCCTCATCTTTCTCCCGCGGAGCAGCTGGTAGTTTTGAACCGCTGACCTTAAGGTTCCCAGCCCGATTCGTAACCACTACACTACCAGAGCTTAGACATTGCTCATCCCTTCATTTTGCTTTCTTGATGATCTCCTGCCACAACCTTGAGCTGTCTCTTGCCTTTGACCTCTCTGACCTTATTCTGCCTGGTCTTTTCAGACTGCTGACTTGGTACTATCTGACCTGGCCCTGCCTCAGCAGTTAATGCCAGGCTGACCTTGCAATTGGAACTCCTGGTTATCCTATCTGGCATAGGGCATACAGAATGCTATTGGCTCATATCAGAATTGAGGATAATGCAAGCACCCAAAGGTATATGTGAATTTCAGCCTGGCACTGTTTGTGAAATTTATTGATTTTTTTAAAGCAGGCTACAGGACTTTATACTAATTCCTGGGTAAATTTTCATTCTGTCCATTTTTGCCTTGAGTTTCTGCCTGATGACATCCTGCAAGAATGACCTCAAACGTAAAAAGTTTAAAACCCACGTTTTCTAATCTCCTGCTAGGGAGTCAGCCATTGACTCAAAGTGACCCTATTGCTGATTTCTGGACAGACATCATCAGGCCTTTCTTCCTAATTCACCTCAGTCTGGAGGCTCCACTGACACCTACTTGGCATCACAGCAACATGCAGACTTCCAGTGACGGACCAGAGGTGGCTGTGCATGAAGTACTTTGGCTGGAAATCGAACCCAAGCCACTTGTGCGGAGAGTAAATAATCTGCCATGGAACCATTAATGCCCAACTCCAGAAGGCTAAGGGTTGAATAAACAACATGGAGTGGACCTGTTCCCAAATGGCAGTGAGTCTAAGGTAGAGAACTTGAGTGCAGTCATTGCATTCAACTTGATATTTTAAGAGACTGAGGACCTTCAAGGAACACAGTTGAACTCACTTGCTTTATATATGAGAAAAGCAAATCCTGAGAGATTACTGATTTGCTCAATAAAACTAGTAGTTACTACAGAGTTTGAAGTGAGTCCTACTTCTGCATCCTACACTTTTCCCACTAGCCCAGTTTTCATTCAGATAGGGAGAAACTAACAGCAATGATAGCCTAACCAGGGATGACAGAAACCAACATAAGAGTTTAGAATGTTGTAGATGCACTACAACTCCTCCCAGGAAAGCACAAGTGCCCACCTACAGCGTGACCCTGAACACAGCCATGGGGCAGAGGGAAGCTGCCCAGGGACTGGTGATTCAGCACAGCTCTGGGAGTGGGAGGAGGTGAGGCAGCCTTCAGGGTGTGTGTAAAAATGAGGAGTCAAATAGGCCTCCCTGATGTCACTAAGAATATAAAGTCCAATCTAAACCAACAAAAGGCAGAGAAATGGAGAGGTGCAAGAACAAAGGGAACGAGGAATCATTACCATGACTATATTCAAATATGATCAAAGCTGAGGCCACATTTAAGAAGCATGTAGGAGGAGAGAAATACCTAAATTGTACCTGTGTTTGTATGTACACCCACACACCACCATTGGATCGTGATGATGCTGGTAAATGGAATCTGAGGGAACACGGCAGCCCACAACCTGTGCCTTTGTCTTCTGCCTCTCAGTTCCTCTCTCCCTGCCCAGATTTGACTC